TTTGGTCCTTTCTGAAACATCATGAAGGAACGTGTCGGCTTTTAATATTTTTATAATACAGAACTGAAGCTCGGAGGTGCGCGCGCGCGCCTCTGAGCTTCACTTCTATACTATTCATTATTAATAAATCGACATTTAATTTTAAAAACGAAATTGAAAAATTCTGGAGCCCTGGAAGGAGGCTGAAGGAACGCGTCGGCTTTAAATTTTTTATAATACAGAACTGAAGCTCGGAGTTTTTATAGAGATTCCTCATGTGCCTCGTTTTTCCAGGATAATCAAACACAGCGATAAACAAGTTCAGGGGGGCATGGGGAGGAGAAGAAAGATAGAGAGATACATAGAAATATAGAAAGAGAGGAGGAGGTAGAGGAGGAAGAGGAGGAGGAGCAGGAGGAGAAAGAGCAAGAGGAGGAAAAGAAAAGGAGATAGCAAACACCCAAAGTTTTAAACTTTTTATGTTTAATTTGTAAGCGCTTAATGTAAATTAAACTTTTCATCTGCTCGTGTAGGGTCGCTCACGTGCCTCGTTCTCCCAGGATAATCAACCAGAGCGATAAACAAGTTCAGGGCGCCAGAGGGAGGAGGAGGAGAAAGAGATAGAGAGACAGAGAGGGAGAGAGAGACAGAGAAATAAAGAAAGACAGAAAGAACTACAAAGAGACAGAAGGACATTGGTTTCGCATAAGAAGGAAGTAACCTCGATGGCGAACTTTTCCCCGTGATGATGAAGTTCGGCCTCCGCGCCCCGCGCCCCCGACCAAACTCTTATTGGCCGTGGATAATCAACTCTTATGTGTATAGGGGCGGGGGGGTACTTTATTATCGTGGGTATGGGGTTAGGTTGATGATGATGATGATGATGATGATGATGATGATGATGATGATGATGATGATGATGATGATGATGAGGAAGAGGAGAGGAGGAGGAACAAAAAAGAAGGAGGAGGAAAAGGAGGAGGAGGCGGAGGAAATGGAGGAGGAGGAGGAGGAGGAGCGGCGACAGCAACGACGACGACCTCGACCGCGGCCATGGCAGGCGGCGGCGACGAAGATGGCGACGACGACGACCGCGACAGCGGCGACCGCGGCCGTGGCGACCTCGGGCCGCGGCGCCGCAAGCCGCGCAGGTTTCGGCGAGGCGGGCGCGGCGCGCGCCCTGCTGGAGGAGTTCGGGGCCGTCGAGGACGCCGGCGCGCCGCCGCCGCGGGGTCCCTGGCCGCCGCTGCCGCCGCCGCCGCCGTCGCCGCCGTCGTCGTCGGCGTCGGCGTCGTCGTCGCCGCCGCCTCCGCCGCCGCCGCCGCCGCCGCCGCCGCTGCCGCTGTCGTCGTCGTCGTTGTCGTCGTCGTCGTCGTCGTCGTCGTCGTCGTCGTCGCCGTCGCGTGCGGGGCCCTCCTGCCCCTGCCGCTGCCGCCGCTCCCCCCCTAGGTCTCGGGCGTCGCGAACGAGAGGGAGACTGCGCTGCGCGTCCTCTGGCAGGCTCGGCGCCAGGGGAGCGTCTGCGCCGCCGGAAACGGCCCGCGGCGCAAGGCTGGTCCATGGGATTGAGTAGAGAGCTCCAGCGCCCATCACCAATGGCATCGGTCGCTTTGGCACTATCTCGGAGCCGCACCCCTTGAGTCTGCGAGCTCCGCGGCAGGAAAGGCTGCCGACGCACCATGCACAGGAGATGCGAATACTAGAAAAGAAGGCGAGGTGCCCCAGGCAACATCGAGCACTTCGCGAGATGGGTCACGTTTGCGCAGCAGACGGAGACGATACCGGGGATCAATGAGATCCTCCGTTCTTATTCCTTCCACCCTCCTCCCTCCTCGTCCTCGTCAAGTTTCTTGTCTTTGTCGTCCTCGTCGTCGTCGTCCTCCTCCTCTTCGTCATATCCTCTGGTCTCCTCGTCCTCCTTGTCCACATTCTTCCCCTCCTCATCACCCTTTTATTTTTGTCGAAGAAAGCCGAGGGGATGGGGGTCTAACCCTATCAGGACGGCCAGCCTACGAGGCCGGTGGTGGCGATCGGGGCGGCGATCACGTACTGGGAGTGCGTCTACGAGTCGCCGCTCTTAGCAAGTTGGCAGGAGATGGAGGATGAGGAGAAATACTACGATAGCGACGGCGATGATGACGACGATGATGACAAGGATAGCGTCAACGATGATGATTGACAGCTGATAGCAGGCTATGGGAATGACGACGATGACCATGGCCACATGGTGTGTATGTGATGAGTAACGGCTATGGACGACGATGATGGCGATGATGATTGACGGTTGAAGGCAGACGATGGAGATGACGTCTATAAGCGTGACCACATGGTGTGTGATGGTTCCTGGTCATGGCGAGGACGGCGACAAAGCTGATGACGATGCTGCTGATGTGGATGAAGATGGCGTCAGCTACACGATGGCGATTGGAGACGTCGACGGCGTCGACTCGGATTTTGATACGATCAGTACTGACGATGCAAGGTGCTATGAAGCTGCTGATGACGAAGACGACGACGACGGGTGCAGGAGTGCGTCAGCGCGCCACCAGTCCCAGCCGGCCGCAGGAAGCCGGACGCGGGCGCCGCCCAGCGCAGGGGCTCGGCGAAGCGGAAGGATTATGTCCGTAGCCATTTTGGCTGAGGCCGTGCGCGCGCGTGTGAACTGGTCTCAGGCTCTCCACGGTGCACGGCAGTCATGGCGGCGCGCGATGCCACTCACGTGTATGTCGGCTGCTACACCACCAAGCATCCGCACATCCGGGGCGACAAGCTCGGCGACGGCGTGTACGCGCTGAAGCTCAATCCCGACGGCAGCCTGACGCATCTCTCGGTGCACGAGCAGCTGGACCCGTCTTTCGTCACCGCCTCGAGCGACGGGCGCTTCCTGTATGCCACCAGCGAGATCGAGGGCGGCGGCGTCACCGCGTACAGGGTCGACCAGACGAGCGGGGCGCTCACGAAGCTGAACGAGCGCGCGACGGGCGGCGACCACGCATGCCACCTGATGCTGAATCGGGACGGCAGCCTGCTGGCGGTCGCCAACTACTCGGGCGGCTCCGTGGCGTGCTTCCCCGTCCGCGAGGACGGCAGCCTGGGCGAGCGCGGCGGCTTCCTGCAGTTCGAGGGCGCGGGCCTGGACAGGGCCCGGCAGCAGAAGGCGCACGCGCACCAGAGCGTGTTCAGCGCCAGCGGCGCCTTCCTGTACGTGCCCGACCTCGGCAGCGACAAGATCCGCCAGCTGCGCGTGGGCGCGGGCGGGGCGCTGGAGGAGATCCCCGGCGCGCCCTTCTGCGAGGCCCCCGTGCCCGGGTGCGGGCCGCGCCACATTCGGGGAAGCGTAGGGCTCGGCTTCGCCGGAGCTCGGGGTTGTCGCTGCTTCCTGACTCGCCCGTCCTGGATTGTGGCGGTCCGGCGTTCGCGGGATGTTTGCGGCGGGGGCTCGAGGCGAATCTCAGAGTGGGCCTCGCCATTTTCTGGATGGCCCCGTCATACCAGCCCGATCCCCCCGCACCCGAGCTTTACGTTTAAGTCGGGCCCGTCCCTCTACAGGGGGGAAATTCAAAAATAGTCAAAAAATAGTCTGGGGACTATATTTTTAGTATTTTTTGGCATCTTTGGGGCATTTTTTGAGTATTTTTTATTTTTCGTCCAAAATCCCCCTGTAGGGGGACACGCCCGACTTAACCTTACGTCTCCCCGACACATCGCGTTCCACCCGACGCTGCCTTTCGCGTACAACATCCACGAGATGGGGAACTCCGTGTCTGCGCTCTCGTGCGACGCGGGCGGCGGCGGTCTCGCCGTGCTGCAGACGCTGTCCACGCTGCCCGAGGCGTACCGGGGCGTGAGCGAGGGGTGCACGTCGCTCACGGAGAGCCACTGTGCCGACGTGCACGTGTCGCCCGACGGGCGCTTCCTCTACGGCTCGAACCGCGGCCACGACTCCATCGTGGTCTTCAGCATCGACCAGGTGGCGGGCACGCTCAGCCTCGTTGGTCACGAGCACGTCGGTGGGTCTATCCCGCGAAGCTTCGGGATCACGCCCAGTGGCGACTTCATGCTCGTGGCGTGCCAAGACACACACAGCATCAATACTTTTGCCGTTGACAAGGAGACGGGGCTGCTCACCAACACTGGCCTCACAGTGGAAGTGGGCTCGCCCGCCTGCGTCTGCTTCGCAGCGCTCGGCTGAGGCTGAATCCACGCAGCAATTACTCGGGTTGCGTCCTGGCCCTGCATCTTTCTCGACCCGAAGTGGTGGAGGAGGCGGGTGAGGGTAGGGGGTGGGATGAGGACGACGACGAGGCCGAGGGGGAGGAGGTGGGCGGCAAGAGGGGGAGGGAGGTCGCGCACTCGTGCGCAGTTGCGGCTGTTCTTTGCCCCGATCTGGCGGGATGCCCTGCAGAGTGAGTGCGTGATCCTCGCCGTGATCTTGGGTTGCGGTGGTAGTGCGATTGGCCGAGAAGCTGCCACCCTCCTCTCCTGCTGCTCCTGCTGCCGCTTCCTCCTCCTCCTCCTCCTCCTCCTCCTCCTTTGTCTCCCGCTCCCTGCCACTCCCCGCCCCCCTTTCTTCGGGATGCCACCAAAGAGGACCCTCTCCTTTTGAGGTCCCCCCACGGGCCAGGGGACGCTGCACCCGATGCCGCTCTGGGCCAGGCCGCTCCCGGGCCCAGGATCGGCGCCCTGCATCCTCCGGGGCCCGGCCCCGAGGGCGCACACTGCACACTGACATCGGGCGAGCGTTGGGTCTCCACGGGTCTCTGGAGGTCCTGGACGTCTCCCAGGGTCTCCAGAGGTCCCCCGAGGCGTCCAGAGGGCCCTGGAGGCACACCTGGACAGCCAACGAGGGCCAGCCCCCCCCCCCCCCACACCCACACACACACACACACACACACATCGGTCTTGGCCCGTCCAGGATCGGTGCTGGCGTGTAGTCAGAGATCCGATGCCACGACCTTTTTTCGTGGGCGCGGTCCTCCAGACCCCTCGACCCCTTCCCCTGGGCTGGGTTTTCACCTCCAGGTTGTCTTTCGGCCGCCCCCCGGGGCCCGAGAATGGGCCTCTGTCGGGAGCCTCGAGACGGGGGTCAATGCAAACGGGGGTCAGCCAGGGCACCGGATCCTGCAGGATCCTGCGAAGACCCCCCCCTGGCTGACCCGGGTCAGCGAGCCGCTCGTGGCCGCGAGGCGGCCGCGCATATTGGCTGACCCGGGTTTGCGAAGACCTGCGCTGCAGTTCTTTTTTCCTGCATTGCAGTTTTTGGTTTCCGGCTGACCCGGGTCTGGCTTGACTGGGGTCAGAAGATCCCCGACTCTGGGGGTGCAGATCGAGGACAAACATTTCGGTGCCGCACCTTAGGGGCGGCGGGTAGCTGCTGCCCCGCCTTCCTCCCCCTGCCTTCTCATTCCTCGTTCTGCGCCTCCTCCTCCCCCTCGCGCCTCCTCCTCCCCCTTCTTCCCCCTGCCTTCTCCTCGTTCTGCGCCTCCTCCTCCCCCTCGCGCCTCCTCCTCCCCCTCCTGCGCGGCCCTGCCGAGGCCGCTGGCGGAGACCCTGGCCGAGCTCTGCGGCGAGGGCGCCCAGGCGACGCGGGTACTTGCCCTCGGGCAGCGGGTGGAGGTCTCTCTCCGTGGGCTGCGGCGGCCCTCGCCGGCTTTTCGTTGGAGCGGGCTCCGGAGGTCTTCTCCCAGGGCTTTCGTGAGCTCCCCAGGTCTCCGACGACATGGCTCCTTCAATCCGCGGGCGTTTCTCCTCGATTTCGGCCCCTGCGGTCGGCATCGGATGCTGGGGCCATCGGCGCTGGATCCAGCACGAAAACTGCCCCGGGAACGGCGTCGGGACCTTGGGGCGGCCGCGCGCTGCACAAGCACAATCGGCGGATGTCTGGGTCTGCGGAGGCAGCCGGACGTTCTCGGAGTGTTTCGGCGGTCCTCGGCGGTCGCGGGAGGGTTTCCGGAGGCTTCGCGACGTTTTCTGGGAGCTGTCGGAGGGTTCCGGCGATTTCTATGGATTTCTAGAAGTGTTTTTGGAGGCCAGAGGCCTCAAGTGCGCTGCGAATGCGCAGCGCCTGTTGGATTGCACTGGCGCCGAGGCCTCTTCACGCACACGCCGCCGCCATGTTGTCCAGTCATCGTGCGAAGCAAGCAGGCTGGACAAATATGTTTGAAACTGTTTTGCATGCTGGTCAGGGCGGAACCATTGAGCCAACACTCAGATCTGAGCGGAGGAGTCCACAAGAAGGAGCACGCTGAATGCACAGAGAACAATCCGTCGGCACAGAGGAATGAAGCTGGTCTTGCCGTGGATCCTCAGGGGCCGTCTCCAGGCTTGAGCGTGCCCCCATCAGCAGGGCCCCCTCTCAGCCGGCAGCCGCTTTCACAAGCCGCGCAGATCCAGAGTTGGTTCCCAGTCTCGCAGCAGTGGGAGACTGTGGGCCCGACAGTTCTCTGCTCTGCTCTGCTCTGCGCACTCGAGTCGAGAGACCTCCGACACCGCGGCGGGGCGGGGCCGCAGACGCCCCGCCGGGGCCTTGGTCGTCCCCTGGGGGGGGGGCCTCGGGCCCGATGGCGCCTGGGGCCCTCGCCTCCTGGGTATCGCCTGAGGCTCTGCATCGCTCGGACGTGTGCAATTCTTCTCGGCAAGCACCATAGAGGAGCATGTGAGGTCATCTGGTGACAAGTACACGCACGAAACCGGCAAATGCAAAGGGAATGGACGTCCGAGCGACGGCGAGCATGGGGGGAATGCCTCGACCCTCACTCGGCCATTCGGCGCCGATGCGGTAGGCACGTCAAACGTAAAACTGGTTCGCCAGCAGGTGCTCCGTGGAAGTTTCTCATTCCTCGATGGCGCTGGGGACCCGCAGAAGCTCCGGGGCACCTACAGAAAGCTCAGGGCGGGCCCCCAGGCCCCAGATCTCCTACATCAGATGTTTGATCCTGTCTGCTGCAGGGGGCCCTATGGCCCACCCCGCCCAGGAGCGTGCGGCTCCGCCATCGGGGGCCTGTCGCCGATGGCTCGGCGACGTGTCGCCGAGTCAGGCTCGGTGTCTCCCCCCCCCCTCCTTCCGCCAGCAGCCCCCCCTGTCGCCCCACCCTTGCCCGATCGCGCCCCGCCCTGCAGCGCGCCGCGGGCCCCGGGCCCGGCGGTGCAGCGCACCACCGAGGGGCCCACTCTTCGTCGAGGTCTCGCGTCCGCATCTGCAGCGGTGGCACCACCGGGCGGGGCACGGCGGCAGAGGCGGCACCACGGGGTGGAGCGCCGTCTTTCGGCGACGCAGGCTTCGAGGCAGCATCGGCGCCAGCTCTCCCCGCTGCCTCCCGCCGCGTGGCTCGGAGGGAACCGGGGCTCGCTGCTCGCTCCTTCTCGCGCCTCCCGCTCCCTCTCCTGCCCCTCTCCTGCGCCTCCTTCGCCGTGGTCGCCGTCGCCGCCTCGGCCGCCGCCGTCGCCGTCGCCGCCCGTGGTCTCTGCGTGCCTTTTCCTGCCTGGGCCTCGTGCCCCTTCGTGGGCGCGCGCGGGGCCGCCCTGTAGAACTCTGGACTACAGTGCCAATTTTTAATGCATGCTCCGCGTGCGGAGCATGTATTAAACATGCAGGGGTTTGGTATTAAAAACAACGAGGAGGTCATGCATAAGTTTACTCATGAATTGATCATGTGTTAAAATCGTGTGTGTATATATATAGATATATATCAAATTCCCATGTCTTAAAACCTGCCCTGTAGAGTCCTGCGCTTCCTGGGCGCCCTCGCTCGCCTGGTGCTGGGCCCGGAAGCGGCGGCCGACCGCTCCGGCGTCTGCGGGTGGTGCCGGCGCCGGCGCCTCGGGGATGGCGCGCGGGGACCCCGGTCGGGCTTCGGGCGTCCAGGAGCCGAGGAAGCGCGGGTATCGGCTGCGGCGCGTGGATTGGCGACGGGCCCCGCTTCCGTGCAGAGCCGACGCGCTGCGTCGCCAGAACAGGCAGCACTGGCGCCATGTTTCCCGATCCGTTGTCCGCACGGTCGGACCGAGGTACGAGATCGAGGCTGGTTCGGGGAGGGTGACCTGAAGCTCTTCGTGCTTGTTGGATGTTCTTGTGCATTCTGGGGGAGGGCGCCCTCGAATGTCCTTCAGTTTGGCCAACGGAGGGTCTCATCGTCTTGAATCGGGGGTGGACAAGAACCCCCAACAGTGACACGTCGATTTGTGAATCGTCCGTTTTCGGCTCTCGAGAGGGCGCCGCGGCCGTCCTTCTCCAGGCCTGCGCCCGCCAGGTCTGGGCCCGAGGTCGCTTTCACCGAAGCACGTTTTGCTGAAGGGGGCTCTGCCCATCCCCGACTGAAGGAGCATCGTACCTCCCAGCTCTGGGCCGCAGCCCATGCCGGCGCGTGCCCGACGGAAGGGGCCAGAAGCCTCCGCGTGTGCTCTCCGCTCTCCGCCCGCCCCGAGCCGCCGCCGGGCCTCGAGAGCCCGTCCTCCCGCCTGCAGAGTCGAGGCTACTCTCGTCGGGGTCGCGCGGGCTCTTCCCGCGGGCGGGCAGCTGCGCAGGTCGCACGGGCCTGCTGCAGTGGGGCTCCAGACCGGCCCTCGGCGGGCGAGTGCCCCGACCCAGCGGACTCGCTCGTGCTGCTGCAGGCCTTTTTTGTTAGAACCCAATCCGTGCTTTGGCCCATGGCGGAGGTTGCGGAGGGGGCGGAGGAGGGGGAGGAGGAGGAGGAGGAGGAGGAGGAGGAGGAGGAGGAGGAGGAGGAGGAGGAGGGGGAGGAGGAGGAGGAGGAGGA